TCAGCAGGATGTACTTGTAGGACAATTAGGAACACAGGGCTGAAAGTGACCCGCTCCTGGCCAGCAAGTCTTGTTCCTTGCCTTTGCAGGTAACCATTTGTCCTCAAGGACATCCACACACTGCACCATAAAGCTCCTCATTTAAAAGGAGAAAAACCCCAAAACGTGCCATAGGGAACAGTGCAGGAGGGACAAGGAAAGACTGCCACGGCAAGGAATTTGTTGGATAAAATATCTTCAGATGATTCTAGGAAGTAGAACGAACCCCACACACAAGGAAGGCAAAACCCCCCCCCCAAAGCCTAGTTGCAGACAGGACAGTCATCGATCCTTGGGCTCTATCCTCAGTTGTCATGTCTGCCATAATTAGCTGGCACAGAAGAAATGACTGGCTACCAGGAGTCACGATTTAGAGTGCTATGGAGCAGCCTCTTCCTCCTCCCCTGCAGCAGCTGTTGCCCATATTGTTGCTTCCTTCAGGGAGCAACATCTCAGCTCAGGTAAAACTTGGGAAGAAGTAGCCATGTGCTCAGTGAGGGAGCACTTCTAATCATGCAGGATGAGGAAAGTAGGACCACGTGGATTCCCTTGATACCAAGGCCTACTCAGAGAAGGTCTTTGCTGCACTGTCAGCTTGAGCTGCCTTGAGTTTTGCCCTTGCTCAGACACTAAAAAAATATCTAGTTCAAGTTAACTGGTACTCTGACCTTGAGGTTTCTGTTCTAGAAGTGAGATGAGAGGAGCTCAGGCACTGCTGAAACTAGCTAGTAAGGCAGATGGGGTGCAGCAGATGAGTTGCAACAAATCAAATGGCAACGTAGTGGCCCTGTGTGCCTCATGGTGTTCCCTAATGTGGTCACTCTCATTCGGCTCTCACTCAACTCAGGCTAGCTGCTGTAGTGAAATGGCTTTTTATGGCCCTTATGGGTCTGCTGACAGTCCAAGTTTAAGAACCCAAGCCCTCTCAAGTTCTGTGTCAGTGGTTTTACTTTTGCTATTTGATCACATGGAATACTACAAAGGCAAGTCTGTATGACTGTCCCTGTTATACAGGTGTAGAAACTGAAGTGCCCTTGGTCAAGGTCATATGACTTTCTGGGTAGTATCGTATTCACCATGCCATGATGCTTCCCTGGATTTTTCTCCGGGATTCCAAATGGGACATGGAGGTTTGAAGAAGCATTCTGCTCCCTATCAGTGGGTCCAGATGCAGTGGATGAAGCTCCCATGGAGATACCTGGCTTAGCTTTAAGCCTCAGGTACAGCAAGCAGTGTAGTCTTGACTATACAGAGCTCAGCATGGCCTGTAAAACCCTGCAGAAGATGCTAAGTAAATACTCAGGCCATTTGCTCATACTGGCTCAAGGCTACTGTACAACACAGCTAATGATATGTAAGCTAGCTGGCTAGCTCATGTTGAAATCACACTGTTATTTCTAAGCTCAGGTACATTTTTGTTATATCAACTGCAGCTTCCAACATCAGGCCCATCCTATCAGATAACTCCTCTTAAAGAGATGGTTTCTGCAGGAAGGCCAGATCTTATTTCCATTGATATAAAAGAAAAAACTCCTAATAATGCCCCCCAACAAATAGATGAGTCAGAAAAATGAGTTTAAAAGTTGCATTAATACAAAGAGACATTAATCTGCCTATTAATCTTTTTCTCCATTAAGTCTACAGTGGAAGAGAGAGGCTAATGTATATATTTTTATTGTCAGCCCTTTCTTTATATTATGTTTTAATGCATGGGGAAAACTGCATGCAGCATGTACTGTTAGATGGGGGCCCACAGTTACACTTTAGGAATTTGGGAAAAGAAAGAAATCTTAATCTAATAAAAGCAGGGGAAAAATAAACACCCATTATGGTAATACACTTATAGCTCTTCTAGTTGCTTGGCAACTAGATGTGGGATATCAGTTAAGAGGCCTATGTCTCTTCTCCTGTATTTGGGTGCATATCACAGAACATATTGTCAAAGCAGCTCAAAGTATTTAAAAATATGTCCTTGGTTTTATGTGTAAATCAGTGCAAATAAACTGATGCACTCATGCTGTTTCAATATATCTCAGGAGCACTAGTTTGTTTACAATGGGATGTAGCATGCTGAAGGTTTTATGCATGTATATATATTCTGTGCACATATTGCTGGTAACTTGCCTGGAATTCTTTGGTTAAGAACTTTTATCCAGAGCAGTTGTCAAGGTCAACCCATAGGCATTCAAACATTGGTGATATTGCTTTAAATATTTATTAAAAAATACCAACATAAAGCTAAAGAGCAACACGGGTGAATGAATAAAATGAATGTAAAGATAGTCAAATAGTGGGTGATGAGGCAAGTAGTGTAAGACACACAGATAGATGGAGAAGCAGACTCATGTTAAACTGAATTCTGAGCCTGCCAGTCTATACAGATTAGAAGAAAAATGTATCTATTAACCTGGTTGCTTGTAATTTTTATAGCCTTGGAGATAACTAAACATATCTTCTTCCTTCAGTGAGCCGTGTTCAGTGTCTCAGTTCCATCAGTTTATGCCAGCAGGCCCATCCATAGTGGTAGAAAGTCTATTTGGGCATGCTGCCTCCATCTCTCATTCCTTTTGGGAGTGCCAGTGTTGGCCAGCAAGCAGTCTCCAGACTAAGTTTGTTCATTATCAGTAATCTGGGGTTGAAAGCCTCCATTGTGAATATGGTGACAATATTACTGTCAGCTCTATGTGGATAAATATTACCCCAAATATACAACAGTGTGTGCCTATACAGTATCTTTAAGGTTTTGGGGTGAACCAATCAGCCTTTCAGTTAAAATTAATGGCACTTCAATGGCACATTAAGCTATGCAAACATAAGAAAGATGTGATGTGTACTCAGAAGTAATCTACCCATAGTTGATTATTGGAGTTCAATCCCCTTAGTTCATTTCTCTACACCAATCTGGGGACAGGTTGCTAATTTTTCCTCAGGCCCCTGAATAGGTAATCAAGAGATGGAAGTGAATATTTCTATTTAAACATTTGCAATTTATTTTTTGACACTGTATTTTAAACAAACTGATTAGTTACCTTTATTATTTTACACTTGATAGCACACACTGTTTTGCTCTGTGTCATTGTTGCATGACATTCCATTTGGCGCACAGTTTATTTTTAGCCAGAGACTATCAAAGTATGTTTCAGTAAGACTGTCACTGCACTTGAACAAGGAATCATATTACTGCAAGAACTTTTCTGAAACAAAGAAGAAACATTGAACAAATGGGGAATTATAAATCTAGACCAACCCAAACTTGCACTGGTAATTAATGTTGCTTCTTTAAATGCAATATAATATATATCCATCAACAAGTGGCAAATGTAATTTTAGCAAATTATTCATTGCTAATTTACTTCTGGGTTCAAGGATATGGGATGGTATTGTTTCTGGTCTATAAGAAGAATGGCTTGACTCAGATCACGTATGGTGTCTGTGAAAGAAAGGGAGAAAGCCAGCAAATTTCTTCAGACTATTAGATCATATTAGATTAGCCTATTGTGCTGATTTAATTAATATTTCATTAGTAGAAAATTACAAACATTAGCTCTATTTTTACTCTGTGCATCTATGTTGTCAATATTTAGGATGTAAGAACTAACAAATATAATCCTCTGGACTAAGCTTCTCATTATCAAAATGAAATACATTTTCCAAAAGATTCATATATATGTGAATATTCATACATATATATGTGATATATCTGTAACCTGTTTTATAGCCTATATATACGTTAATTTTATATCCTAAACATGAGTTATGTATATATCTGGCAATATTGGTTACACAAGGTAAAACAAGTAAACTTTTGTATAATACTTAATACACCATTTTAACAGTAAATATCCATAATTGAAACTTCAAGTGTTAGTAAGAAAATAATTATAATTAGACACATTTTAAAGGTGAGTTATTTGATTACTGGAAGGTTGTGATCTGTGTTCTGTTTTTTTATGACACTCAAAGTATATTGTGAAACACATTTGCTTTTCTTTGTTAGATGAATGGAAGAAGAAAGTTAGTGAATCATATGCTATAATCATAGAGAGATTAGAAGATGACTTGAAGATCAAAGAGAAGGAGCTAACAGAACTGAAGCATGTCTTTAGGTAAGGTATTTTGGAAAGCTGCTTATTACATATAGCATTTACTCAAATCTAAGACTCAAGATTTTTCCCATTCATCTGGAGGGGGAAAAGCCCCTCATCTTGGATTTGAGTATAAGGCAGAGGTGGGGGAAAGGCAGCTGCTGCAACTCTGACTCCAGCCCTGAGCCCAAGTTGAGGCCAGAGTCAGAGCCACAGCAGCTTTTGCTGCTTGCCCCCTGCTTTCTGCTTGCCCCCTGTAGACACTGCCCCCCACTTGCCCCTGGGAGCTTCTGTCTCCTTGGAGCAGGGCCAGCAGCTCTGGTCCCAAGTTTCTGCTGCATAGTTGGGCTAGGGCTTCCGTGTGCTCCATGTCCAGGAGGGAATAGAGCTGGAACTGCACCTGACAGTAAGCAGCTGAGGAGGGGCAGAGGCTATGGGTATCACACAGAGGGGCAAAGGCTGCAGGGGGTACGTGGGAGGAGAGAGGTTCCAGGGGTGACAGAGGCTGGAAGGGACAGGTAACAGGGATGGAGGCAGATCTGTACTGGGTGGAGGGCAGGCTGCAGGAGGGACAGATGGGAGGGGCCACAGGGCAAGGGAGCCACTTGGCCCCTTTACCACATGCCCCCTGGTGTGGCTTTGCCTGCTGCAGAGGTGGGGGGAGAAAAATTTATGATGATCCTCTGATAATTAGGTTCTATACATGCTGGGTTTTTGTTTGTAGCCATGTTGGTCTAAGGGCATAGGCAGGCAAAGTTCTTTGGGTAGATGTGATATCTTTTATTAGATCAACCGGGGGTGTGGGGGGAGGGGTAGAGACTTCCTATGCCTGAAGAAGGGTGATTGCACCCAAAAGCTTGCAAAGAACTTTTTTCCAACTATTCAGTTGGTCTAATAAAAAATATCACATCTACCCAAAGAACCTTGCAGTTCTATACATGGAAACTTATAACAAATTTATACAATTTTTACATAAAAAAATCTAATTGTTAAGGGGTTATTTAAAATTCAAAGTAGTCTTGGATTTTGGTGAATATGATACTTAGAAATAATAATTCCCTTTTAAATGCTGATTTATATTAAATGATGTAATTCCAAATGTCTCCAGTTATGACAATGACATGCACGAATAGAAAGTCTCTTTCCTGCTATTTGTTTTTAAAAATAATTTCTAATAATTCTGAGCTAGTGTCTCTCCTCTTATCACCCAGATTAAGGCGACTATTTTTTTATTTGTTCTGATTGAATACTGCCAATATTTTAATACAAATTTAGAACTGTAAATGAATTTCCTTTAGCAGTATGCATACTTTTTTTTTGATCATGTGACAGAATTACATTTGCAAAATAGTCTCCTTGCAGGAATATTTTCTAAAAGTGAATTTCAAATTCATAATTGCAGTCATTTTCTCAGGAGAGCCTGGATAAACCAGGCTTATCCAGTCAGATAATATACCATGTGACCTATTAATCCAATCAGGGCAGTTCAAATACTGAATCTACCTGCAAATTGATTGTGAATGAGTTAATTTAAAAAAACTTAGCACATAAATTATTTCAGCTATCCAACATTCGCATTCTGTTCCTAGCTAACTAGTAATGGCAAAAGTGATCAGATATAGGAGTCACTTTGTTCTGTTAATTAACATTGTTTGAGCCCTTCCATTCAAAGATGACTTAGAGCTCTGTCCTCCAATCTTTGGAGCTTTCTGGGCCTGATCCAACAGAGTTCTTCAGTACATGCTTAATCTGAAGCTGGCTCATCCCACTGACTGTGAAGTTAAGTGAGAACTTTAATACATTGCTTGACTGTGGATAGAGGCCTCAGCTCCTTTCAGAATCAAGTCCATTTAGATTAAGAAAGAAAAAAATCTACTTTTTTGTCAGATGAAAGAGAAGAAAAGAATTATTTTTGTAACTAGCTGGTGACCAAGAGCCGAGCCAGTCTTTTTGTCCAGGAACTAAGCAAAAGTTGTTTCAGATGTTATCCAACCTTTTCCTGTTATCCGATGAGATCCATTAATTCTCTTTGCAGTCAAAAAGACTGACTGAAATGTATCACACTGTAGGACTGGACCCTCTGTTACTGGCATCTGAAAGGTAGACTTCTTCTGTATGGTGAGAGTTGAAGCATCAATCAACAGGTTCAACTCTATCACCTGCCCTTCAACAGAAGGCAACAGAATTAGTCAGTCTTCCTGTGTGCATCCCAGATCAGAATCTGGTTTGAAGACCATAGTTCTTTTCCTACAACAAAAAAAATGGGTAATTATTCGCTTTTGTTTTCTATCTCTGAGGAGAATATCAAATGAGGGTAATCAAATCCTCCCACATGAAAGAAAAGAATCTTGCATGAAAGGAAAAGGTTAATACTGAGAAACTGGCTGGTTGTTGGAGGCCATGAAGAATGTGGTCATCAGACTATTTGAAAATTAATAGGATGATAAAACATGTACTGAGCCACTAAATTATTCTCCAGAACATGTAAGTTACACAGAGATTTTTTTTTTAAATGACATTTTCTTTCCAGTGTTCAGACAAGGTGGTTTTGGGCTGAAAAATGTTTCCCATAAAGAACCTCAAACCCATTCTTGTACATACATCCATTTGAGTAACTGTTTAAGAGGGGTTTGGGGCATTTCACATCATGTGATATATATTACAAAGAAGCAGCCTCCAAGAGGTGTAACTATTCTTCTACTAGAGGCAAAAGTAGAGCTTGAGGGCAGGGAATGAAATTGTTTTTTATATTATCATATGCTGTCCTGTGTTATCAGGGTACTATTGCACAGAAAAGGTGTGCTTTCCATCTTTGTGTGCTGAAAGTCTCAGTGACGATGTTCAGTTTATAGTGGTACCTACAGGTTGCTACAGAAATCAAAATTCTGGTTGGCCAGTGGTTCTCAATCTTTTTGGACTTGAGGCACCCTTCACTGGACATCAGGCATCCCTCTTTGGACCCCTCCATAACTTTTGTGAATCAAGTGGCACCAAGTTGAAAAATTAATTTCTATATTACTGAAGGGCTGGACACTGGGAGTGAGGGATTGTTCAGACAGACCTGAAGGTTATCTGCATATCTTCTTACACCTCCTTATCTGCTCACACTTTTCAGTGCCTTTCAAAACATCTGATGGCACCCTGGTTGAGAATCACTATGCTAGGCACTGTGGAGTGCATCATCTTAAAGGACATAGAATCTAAATAAGACAAGACAAGTTTGGTAGAATCTGGCTCTTTCATATCTGGATGGTTCATAACCTGCTTAGTTCACATTGGGTCTCCAAGTAAAGGATGAGTTTCTCAGCTGCTTACTACTGATTTTACTTTGAAGGCACTGCATTTTCACTCACTTGGAATCCAACATTGGTTCTATGCAATTGTTTGCCATGGTTCTCTGTGGCCTTGGATGGTTTCCAAACCCTCATCTTCAGAAGGGGATAATGAACCTAACACTACCAAGTGTCCAAGTTGTACTTTACTAGTATTATTCCTATTTTAAACCAGGGTTACTGAGGTACAACATAGTGACTTGCCCCAGGCTACACAGGAAATCTGTTGCAAAGCTGGGCATCAAATCCAAATTTGTATAGTTTTAGTGCAATGCCTCAACCCAAAAACTATCCTAAAAAGAGAATATTTGAATACACTGACAGATAGAATCACTTGTAGAGATCGAGTTAGAAGAAACTCTTTGGTGAAAATAAGTCTTGAATTTAGACCTTGTAACTCTAAGCTTCATTTACAATTCAAGTTTTGTAACCAAGCAAATATTTCCTGCTTTGCTAGTGTCTGAGAATTGCAAAGGGTTTAAAAACAGTTTATAAAGAGAAGAAACTGAAAGTATATTTTACTTTTCCAGGTTATGATTAAAAGAAAATTTAAGCAAATAGCCATAAAGGTGAAAAATTAGATTTATAGTCATATATAAGGTTTATGAGTGAAATAGGTAAGGAAATTATGTCTTTAGAAATATGTGAGTTTTGAACTTGACAGCGTCCTTTTCAATGCTAACAATAGTTTTATATCATTGAGCACTATAAAAGAACACGAGACATAATTATACAATATGATCATATTTGAGTATTTTGAGACTTTTAAAATGCATCTGTCAAGTGAATCAATCCATCTCAATGTGTGCAGCAAAATGCATCAACATGCAAAGCACAAGAATTTTAAAATAAAAGACAAGTTAACAAAAAGGACTTGTCTCCTAGGCCATGGAGTTTTTCTTTCGCACAATCACCCCCTAAGGAAAACCTTAAAGAATAGATGGAGCTTACAGTGGTATCATTAATCACAATATGCCTGAGAAGACATGTATAGAACTAAAATATATAGGGAGAATGAGATTTTCCTTCTACTGTGCAAAACATTTTTTTCCTTAGTAAAAAGTAAGTAGTAAATGAAGAGCAGTCACTGAAGATAAAAATGCTGCCATAATGGTAGACAAAATATTCCATTTCAGGAGAGTTTACATGAAGAAAATATAAACAAAATTACCAGGTTTCCCTTTATGCTTTTGATAGCTACTGTGTAAGAGGCAGATGTGAAAAGTTACCTTGGACCTACTCGAGTTGGTTCTCAGAAGGAGGTCTAATTTTTGTGTTCATGAAAAATTCCTAGTCCTTTTTTGGATTATTGTTCCTTATGTAATGAGCCAGGCAACCTGGAGACCTTACTTTTAATAGCCCATTCTAACCTGGTGATAAGCAATGGTCAGGAGTTTCCAACAAAAATGCAAAGAAAATCATGATTTTCACTGCATTATTCTATAGAAAAATATAAATAAAATATTGTTCAAGTTTGGTTCAAACTGGATCAGAATTTTTATTTTATTTTGACTCAGTTAAGTTGCATTTCCTCATCAGTGTATTGCATTAGAGAGTTGTTTTTCTTGCTTCATTTTCTCCCTCGATTGAGTTCTCCAGAGGATCAAACCTTTCATAATGCAACATGTATTTTTCCTCTTCCCTGGACTCTGTCTGGTGCCTCATAGGAGCCATATGTCTCTAAGGGTT